ACAGCAATACCCCCACATCACCCTACACCTGTCTGTCGTGTACAGCAATACCCCCACATCACCCTACACCTGTCTGTCGTGTACAGCAATACCCCCACATCACCCTACACCTGTCTGTCGTGTACAGCAATACCCCCACATCACCCTACACCTGTCTGTCGTGTACAGCAATACCCCCACATCACCCTACACCTGTCTGTCGTGTACAGCAATACCCCCACATCACCCTACACCTGTCTGTCGTGTACAGCAATACCCCCACATCACCCTACACCTGTCTGTCGTGTACAGCAATACCCCCACATCACCCTACACCTGTCTGTCGTGTACAGCAATACCCCCACATCACCCTACACCTGTCTGTCGTGTACAGCAATACCCCCACATCACCCTACACCTGTCTGTCGTGTACAGCAATACCCCCACATCACCCTACACCTGTCTGTCGTGTACAGCAATACCCCCACATCACCCTACACCTGTCTGTCGTGTACAGCAATACCCCCAACACCACCCTACACCTGTCTGTCGTGTACAGCAATACCCCCAACACCACCCTACACCTGTCTGTCGTGTACAGCAATACCCCAACATCACCCTACACCTGTCTGTCGTGTACAGCAATACCCCAACATCATCCTACACCTGTCTGTCGTGTACAGCAATACCCCAACATCACCCTACACCTGTCTGTCGTGTACAGCAATACCCCAACATCACCCTACACCTGTCTGTCGTGTACAGCAATACCCCAACATCACCCTACACCTGTCTGTCGTGTACAGCAATACCCCAACATCACCCTACACCTGTCTGTCGTGTACAGCAATACCCCAACATCACCCTACACCTGTCTGTCGTGTACAGCAATACCCCAACATCACCCTACACCTGTCTGTCGTGTACAGCAATACCCCAACATCACCCTACACCTGTCTGTCGTGTACAGCAATACCCCAACATCACCCTACACCTGTCTGTCGTGTACAGCAATACCCCAACATCACCCTACACCTGTCTGTCGTGTACAGCAATACCCCAACATCACCCTACACCTGTCTGTCGTGTACAGCAATACCCCAACATCACCCTACACCTGTCTGTCGTGTACAGCAATACCCCAACATCACCCTACACCTGTCTGTCGTGTACAGCAATACCCCAACATCACCCTACACCTGTCTGTCGTGTACAGCAATACCCCAACATCACCCTACACCTGTCTGTCGTGTACAGCAATACCCCAACATCACCCTACACCTGTCTGTCGTGTACAGCAATACCCCAACATCACCCTACACCTGTCTGTCGTGTACAGCAATACCCCAACATCACCCTACACCTGTCTGTCGTGTACAGCAATACCCCAACATCACCCTACACCTGTCTGTCGTGTACAGCAATACCCCAACATCACCCTACACCTGTCTGTCGTGTACAGCAATACCCCAACATCACCCTACACCTGTCTGTCGTGTACAGCAATACCCCAACATCACCCTACACTTGTCTGGAATGAAGCTATACTTTAGTAATAACAAAACTTTTTTTTACGAATAAATTGTTCTAAAGGAATAAATTTTTGCTCCCGGTTCAATTATTATTATAATAAAAAAGAAGCGCTAAACCACAAGGAAACTCCCGGTTCAAGGAATTCATGAAAAACCTCTTCGTGGAGCCCTAGAGGTACATGGACCACTGGTTAACACCCCCGTCTATAGGTAGAGAAGAAAACACAGATTCGAGTGCAACCCATGAGAGAATACAAGACATTAAAAATCAAATACACAAGCGTGAAGGTTGAGAGGCAAGTTTTGGGAGCTGTGGCTCAATCCCCTCACGTCTACTACTGAATGTTGGAAAATAGTGTATTTCTCCAGTGAAACCTCCCAGCCTGGGATGACACTGTACCACAAAGTTTATGACAACCCATACTATGTGTAGGAATATGATAGGAAAAATTGCAAGTTTTTTGTAACGCCATGTATGTGCCATGTAGAACAGTGCAACCACATACTGGGTGATTCCTATATATAACTATCATACGGAATAATGCAGCCACATACATCGAGTGTTTCCACAATGTATAGTTGCAAACTGCAGTTGTTCCCATTATATAAATATAAGTATTATACTGCAGTGCTAACCAGTCTTGCTTAAAACAAAAAAAAAAGGCTGGCGCATGCTGCTATGTCTGCCCCGCCGGTCTCAACACAGTGTAGCTAACGGGAAGCCGCAATCAACATGTTTGAGGGAGACTTGTTCAGGTCAACGTACCAGCAGCAGGTCTTATAGGTTCTCCTCACAAACTTTTTCTAACTAGGAACACTTGCAGTGCTGCTGCTTCCCTATTCTCAATGGCAGTTACAGTGTAGAAACAACCCTGTCTTGGGAAATGGCTCAACCACTTTTCTGGAACATAAATCAAATCTTTTCCGTTATGAAAATAAAGAACGAAAACCAAATACTCCCCCCCCCCCAAAAAAAAATACCAATGGATAAGGGTTTAAATAAATTAAAATCATAGCTATTACATTAAATAATGAAAAATAAATACAACTAAAAATCCCTCCTTAAAGAGATGAACATGAAGATTAATAACAAGGATAGGATGACAACAGTTAGGAATCCTCAACATGTAAATAGCTTGTCAATAGAGCTAGGGATCCTTAACCTAACCTTGTTAAACCCTGTGTAAAAAAAAAAAGTTATAATTATTATTCTACAGCCAAGAGTAAAGTCAGTGCTTGCAACGTCACAGCACAAGCGAATGATGAAGTGCACACAGTAGTACCAAGCAATACCTAAAAGGGTCACAGGATGAGATACTTACAGTTGTCTGGAGATTGATTGTAGGTGGAGTGCTTAACCTCACTCACCCTGGTCACCAGAGTGTCATCGAAGGTATGAACTCTGTAAGATGCGCAGCCATGGCATAAACTAGGGGAAACAACCGAATATCGTGTTGTCATGCATCCTAGAAAACTATACCTAACTAGAGTTTAGACAATACACCCACAGTGTTCTGCTACACTATACTGTATGGAACACCTTAGCGCTTAGTTCTGACTGTAATAATAATAATAATAATATATAGAAGTTATATACTGGAAACTGTACGACTACACTCTCATGATAATAGTGTAATGAGTACTTGTGAATGCTGAAGGGTAATACACATGTAAACAAGACATCAGTAATAGGAGTCTGTATAGAGTCCCAACTGGAGTTATGGTGGAACACGAGCAGTATGTTACACGAGAAATACATGGCGTGAGCAGAGGGCACCTGTACACCTTGGACTTTACAATAAAAAAGCCAAAAAAAAAAATTAAAGCTATACCTTCGCCTGTGCATATTTTCTTTTTATCTGTGATGCTTAAACTAAATATTTTCCTCCTCTCCAATATCAAACAATGCAATGTACTGACTCATTATATATGTATACATTGTAATATGCTGACACGTCACCACATTGCAATGTGCTCCCTCACTGTACATTGCTATGTGGTCATCCATTGTACATCATGTTGCGAGGAATATATTCTTGTATACTCACTGTAACTTAACACACTTTGTAATATTTAATACTCCTTGAATATTTAATATATTGCTGGATGTTTATCATCCTGTCAGAAAATTTTTTTAAGAGGTTAAGATATACACTGAGTTATGACCTCAGGTGTCCTGACCCTCGGCTATCTGGGATAGGTCACGACTCTTTCTAGACTTGTAAGCAGCGTCATATGATTTTTTTTTATTTTAGCCGGATACTGGAGGTGAAGGAGGGACAGGAAGAGGCGAAGTAGGGGAAAAGAGTAGGAGACAGTCGATCTTGGTGAGCTGAGATCGAAGACCGACTGGTGATCCAAAGTTAAGGGTGAAGGATATAATATTAAGTGAACACTACAACCTGCATTCGTTCTTCCCTTCAGTAATATATACTGGATTAAAATCTTGTACTGTTGTATTCTTATATTCAGGAGTCATAATGTAATATTGGCCTTTCAATCCTTCCATTAACCTGATCCATAAATCTCCCCTAAACTTCATATATGTCACACATATTTTATAAGAAAAATATCTGGATTATTCCTATATTCTATTTCTCAGTTTTGCAGTTGCTGGGTGTGGAAGAGCGGTTGGGTGAAGTGAAATCTGGGAATATAGATCAGGGTGAAGTGATGACCCCTGTCAAGTGTGCGAGTATTTATCAAGCATTAATTAATATCATTTAAGTCAGACCGGGAGTTTTTTTTTTTGGGGGGGGGTCATCTAACTTAGGGTCTGACAAAGTAATTGGCAGCGGTGGGTTACAAAGTCTAGATTACAAAGCCTAGTACATAATTACTGATTTGCATCTGATTTATGAATGGTTAATGAATTCTGACTTCAAGTCAGTGCGAGCAGTTAGGAGCAATATCGACACTGTTATTTTTCTTCATAAAATGTCCTTCTAAATACACCCATTACCACCCACCCACCCACTTGCAGCCTAAGAATATGCACTCCACTCGTCCCTCTTCTCTCCTACTACCTACTCATAATCTCCAGCAGGTTTGTGAGACAACGATCATGCTGGTCGTTGTTAAAAAAAAAAAACACTTCTCTCCAGTTGCTCTTCCACTCTTCTGATTATATTTTCCATTGCCTTACAAAATATTCATGTCAATGATTCTGGTCCCAAGTTTATTGCTCCCTGTCTGTCACAGTTTTTATAATTAACGGGAATACATTTGCTGTTTTCCATATATCTAAGCAATTGCCAATTTTTTATTGACAAGATTTTAGCTTGTTCTTTTCCGGCCAGGGATCTCAATCCCTGGACCTCAGTGATAAGAGCCGTGACTCTTGTCACGTCTGTCTATGTAAATGTGTGTGTGGTTACGGAGTGTTTGTGTGCGTACTCACACAGTTTTACTAACCGATTTTGTGTTAGTTTTTGTACACATGTATGTTTACAATCTACAAGCAGTGTAATGTTTGTGCTGTATCGGCAGGTGAAGATGCCCAAGGCAGGTGTGCCCAAGGAAGGAGGGCGACGGACAGGGGGACGCCACCTGCCCAAGAGGTCAGCGTCGTCAGCCAGCAGCCTGCAGAGGGACCGTCAGGATGTTGTCATCACCGGTTATACGCCATTCGACGCCGACCTCCCGCCTCTTCCCTCCATCAACCTTCCCAGGACCAAGAGCGCCGCCGCCGTCAGGAGCGAATCTAGCCGCGAGGTGCGACTCCGCCGTAGTGACTGTTCAGACGAAGGGAGAGTTGTCCGCGGCGCGTCCCCCAGCTCGCCGGCCACAGAAATGTCGCTTCCACTCGACCAACCTCCTCGCCAGACACGGACACGCTCCACCTCCTCGACTCGTCGTCCCACTAGACCCTCGACGCCGACGGGAGCCTCGTCGCCGTCTGAAGTCTCGTCGTCTACGACATTACTAGGGACAGAGATGCTAGACGAGGATGAGTTAACATGTGCCATCTGCCTGGATCTGCTGCACCGCCCTCGCTCCCTGCCGTGTGGCCACACCTTCTGCCTCGTCTGCCTCCAGAACTACGTCAACTCCTGCAGGTAACATAGATAATGGGACTCGGAAATGTTTGACTTAACGTTCACAGTTTTATATATACATTACATCCTTTTTCCACACACACATTCCACTCATGCACAAACACATTGGTCAGAGACTGTACTTGGCAGACGGAGGTTCGAGTCTTTTGCCACTCTTTAGGCAGAAAGATATTTGATTAAGAGCTGTCTGTGGAGTGATTCTTTCAATAACTGTTGACATTTTCTTCAAGTAGTGGAACTTTTTTGCCTTGTTTTATTCTGTTGTAGTATAGTGAGGTGTTGCCCACCTGCCACAGGACACTGTTCACGTGCCCCTCGTGTCGGGGAGCAGCCCAAGTGCCCAGCGAGGGTGTGGTGGGTCTGCCTTCCAACACAACCCTGGCCAAGGGCGCTAGACTCCTCCGGGAGCGACGTGAAGGAAGACCCGGAGCTCTTGTCTGTGCCGCCTGCCATACCTCCCTCGGACGTGAAGGCGTGTGGCCATTGTAAGGCGGCGTGGTGCCTGACGTGTAGCTCAGGACACCTGCAGCAAGTGCAGGCAGACGTGGCTGAGCTGAGGGAGCGACTGGCTAGTGCCAGAAACACTCTCTCCTGTAGGAGCGAGGAGGACGAGGCAAGTACACTTCAGCTACTGTTATTCTTGTTCCTTTTCACTCTCTCCCATTGTCTCTTCATCTTTCTTTCCCTTCCTCTTCCGTTTAGCACGCTAGTGAAGTATCCAAGTTTACTAAATAAAAAAAAAACATTCTCACTGTAAATTATTTCACAGCTTCTTCAGGGACAGCCCACATTTAAATAGCTTAAATGTGCATTTTTTTTATTAAATTCACTCTGGACTGCATTGTAAGGGAAAAATGCCCTAAATTTCACCATTCTAGGCGGTAACCTAGTAATAACTAATTTACCCGCTTGAAAAAGTTAACGTAGTAAAGCTTGTCTATCTTTATGACGGAGCTCTAAGTATCGTTAAGACTACATGAACAAAAGTAAAACAAGGTTATTTGAAAGCATTGACAATAAAAATAATAATCTAAATATTAAAATAGTGTTCTAAATTTACTCGTTAGAGATAATATAACAATTCTTAAGCTCTAGCCTGACCTCGTAGTTCACACAGATGCGGCTCAGTAAACTGGAGGAGAAGATTGGAGAGGCTGTGGAGGAGCGAGTGGCCAACCTGCAAGAAGAAGGAAAGAAACTCACAGCTCAGGTGAGTCTGACACCAGAACCTGATCCCAGAGTTTGGCCATTGTGTTTGACCACCTTGGCACGTGACGAAAATTATATCTTATTTATGTCTTATTTATGTTTAAAATATGATGTAGCTGGGAGTGGAGCAAATCTAAACATACAAGCAAAGCAGGGGATGGAGAGACTAGAGGGAGAGGCAGGAAGAGGGAATAAAATGTACAGAAAGAGACAAATAGGTAATAAACGGGAGACATAAGTGTGCTTTCCTGTGGCAGGTTAAATGACATCACTTAAGGAGTAATTCTGTTGTCTACCTCGCTGCTGGAGGCAGTGATGTTGGCAAGTTTAGGAACGAAGAGTTGAAGAGTTGCTTGAATGATAATGACTGGGTATATAACTACTGCTTCACATGCAACGGTGGATCTTCTGCCAGTGGCGCAGCCAAGATTTCCATTTGGAGAACTCATAAATCAGATGCTGAAAAAAATATGATTTTTAATATGTGATATTTCTTAAACCATCGCGCATTCATAGTCACTGGTCAATATAATACAATGAAAATTAGCCATTAATTAAAAAAAATGAAAAAAAAAAATTGCATCTGGAGATTTAGCCTCGTTAGTCCTCCCTCGTGACTTCGCCGCAGCATACTGCAGTTATTAACTTCTTTTGCTCTTAAATATTTATGTACGAAAGAGAAATGCAGAATAACTATACTGAAAGTATATAGATTATAACCGTGTTATTATTGATAACTTTGTGTAGCACATTTAAGAAAATCTGTATTTTGAAATGCATTTTATACACTTTTAGTACAAATATTTCACATGAATCAGGTGGAAGAGCTGCGGAAGGAGAGCCAGGAAAGGTCACACAAGCTCTCTCAAGACATAGAGAAGGTGTTGACCAGCTCTAGCCAGGGGCAACAAGAAACCAAGGTGAGATTTTCTTTCTTGTTGCCTTGCCTCTTTAGCCTTCCCTGACCTCTGTCTTATTTCCTCCTCAATAAAGGTAGACACCGACTTAGATAAGTTCTCTGATCTTCCTTGCCTCTCCCTGGCAAAGCTCTATAACCTTCTCTGTCATCCAGTCCCTGTATAAGGGAGAGGCAAAGCTCTATAACCTTCTCTGTCATCCAGTCCCTGTAAGGGAGAGGCAAAGCTCTATAACCTTCTCTGTCATCCAGTCCTTGCCAGGGAGAGACAGAAACATTTTCTCTCTTTGGTGAGGTTACATTCCTTCGTGAATTTACTTAATAACTGCACTTTGTCTTCCTTGAGTGAGGCAATATATATATACGGGGTTTCTCTCGTGTACTTGTGTACCGACTGAGGCGTCGTGTCTCAGGTGAAGCATAATCCATGCTGATCCTCTCCATATACCCGTTTATCATACGCAGCTGGAGGAGGCGGGACGTCTACACTCCATGCTGCTGACCCTCCTGAAGGCAGCCTCCACAGCCAAGGGTCCTAGAGTCACACTTGACCAGGTCAGCCTTACCCTCAGTAGCCCGTCCTCGGCGGCGGTGGAAGAGGAGGTGGAGGGGAAGGAAGAGGAAGAGGAGGAGAAGCAGTTTCAGGCGCAGGACCATAGCCTCCTCTACAGGTATTATTATTATTATTATTATTATTATTATTATTATTATTATATTCATGAGGGAGCGCTAAACCCGTAGGTGTCTTGCAGCGCCCTTGATAAAGAGTCAGGTTCGGCTGAGAGGGGAGAGGACAGATCCAGTTCCTTGGACCAAAATTTTTTTTTCTCGATGTCAAGAAACCTTCACTGAGAGTCCCAGGTTTGTGAGGATCTCCAGTCTAAGTTCCTTCTTGGGGAATGCGTTGAACTTGGTGAAGACCTCTTTCTCCAAGGAACTGGAGCTGTTTTTATCTTCCTTGGATCACACCTTCCCAGGCGCTGTATGACTCAGATGGTTTTAGCATTTCCTGTCGGATATAAAGATAATAATATCCCTTATCACTTGGTCTATAAAACAACTCGCACACGAGTGAATCACTCGTCATTACTAGACGGAGGATCGAGCCTCCACAACTAGGGCTACATAACCCACACGGGCAAATAGCCTCAAGTAAACGTACAAATAGGTTCACTTACAGTATTGAAATTCCCCAAGTTTTATATAGCTTTAACAAGGTTATGTTTTGTGTATTTGTGATGAACACGAACAACTAAACTCTTTGTAAGTTTTTCAGTAGCGGTTTAACCACCTTTGATTTATTATGCATAACAACCACAGGGGAGAGTTGAATGATAGCTCTAGGTCTTTCGTTTTGTAATCAGAACATCACCAAGAGAGTCGTTTCCCTGAACGAATCTACCTGGACTTCCTCCTCATTTCTGCAACACTGCAAGCTCCTGAAGATGTGTTGATTACAACACGAAAGGCCTACAACTATCAATCAGCTCTTCCCCTGTGGTTGTTTTGCGCCTTGTATTGCTTGTTCGCGATTATTGCATAATTATTACATTCGATAACGAGTGCTAAACCCGTACGGGTCATACTGAGTAAGGCAGCCATGCTATAGTGTGCATTATTTTTTTCAACGAGAGTAGTTTATGAAGATACAATGTAGTAAGAGAAATTAAGTTCAGTAACGAGTTGGATTTCTCTGTGTATGTACGCCGAGAAGTGTGCGTCTCTGTATGTACGCTGAGAAGTGTGCGTCTCTGTGTATGTACGCTGAGAAGGTGCGTCTCTGTGTATGTACGCCGAGAAGTGTGCGTCTCTGTATGTACGCTGAGAAGTGTGCGTCTCTGTGTATGTACGCTGAGAAGTGTGCGTCTCTGTGTATGTACGCCGAGAAGTGTGCGTCTCTGTGTATGTACGCCGAGAAGTGTGCGTCTCTGTGTATGTACGCCGAGAAGTGTGCGTCTCTGTTATGTACGCCGAGAAGTGTGCGTCTCCGTGTATGTACGCCGAGAAGTGTGCGTCTCTGTGTATGTACGCCGAGAAGTGTGCGTCTCTGTGTATGTACGCTGAGAAGTGTGCGTCTCTGTGTATGTACGCTGAGAAGTGTGCGTCTCTGTGTATGTACGCCGAGAAGTGTGCGTCTCTGTGTATGTACGCTGAGAAGTGTGCGTCTCTGTATGTACGCTGAGAAGTGTGCGTCTCTGTGTATGTACGCCGAGAAGTATGCGTCTCTGTGTATGTACGCCGAGAAGTGTGCGTCTCTGTGTATGTACGCTGAGAAGTGTGCGTCTCTGTGTATGTACGCCGAGAAGTGTGCGTCTCTGTGTATGTACGCCGAGAAGTGTGCGTCTCTGTGTATGTACGCTGAGAAGAGTGCGTCTCTGTGTATGTACGCCGAGAAGTGTGCGTCTCTGTGTATGTACGCTGAGAAGAGTGCGTCTCTGTGTATGTACGCCGAGAAGTGTGCGTCTCTGTGTATGTACGCCGAGAAGTGTGCGTCTCTGTGTATGTACGCTGAGAAGTGTGCGTCTCTGTGTATGTACGCTGAGAAGTGTGCGTCTCTGTGTATATACGCTGAGAAGTGTGCGTCTCTGTGTATGTATGCTGAGAAGTGTGCGTCTCTGTGTATGTACGCCGAGAGGTGTGCGTCTCTATGTATGTACGCTGAAAAGTGTGCGTCTCTGTGTATGTACGCTGAGAAGTGTGCGTCTCTGTGTATGTACGCTGAGAAGTGTGCGTCTCTGTGTATGTACGCCGAGAGGTGTGCGTCTCTGTGTATGTACGCCGAGAGGTGTGCGTCTCTGTGTATGTACGCTGAGAGGTGTGCGTCTGCGTATGTGCGCCGAGAGGTATGCATCTCTGTGTATGTACGCCGAGAAGTGTGCGTCTCTGTGTATGTACACTGAGAGGTGTGCGTCTCTGTGTATGTGCGCCGATAAGTGTGCGTCTCTGCGTATTTTCACCAAGTGTGTATCAGTGTATGTACGACAAAGTATCACAAGGTATACACCGAGAGCTGTGTGTATCTCGCAATGTATATACAACGAGTTTAATCCCTGTTTTAGGAACTTCAGCATTTACAACGACCCACCTGTAGTCATTAGTCTTTAAGAGAAGCACTAATTTCCTGCACTTCTGCCAGGAGCAAGGGATCCTTGACTAGACTGCGGTGGGGTCAGCACCTCGGGGAGCGGCCAGCGGGCGTAGCTGTAAGCCCTTGGACCTCTGAGATCTACGTCACCGGCAGCGACACCTGCAGGTACCAGCACCCAGCTCTCACCTGTAGAAAAGAAAAAGTAGCTACTAAATAAAAGCACGTCTTTACTAAATCAAAATTGTCCTTGTTAAACTGAATTTTTTTGACAACCTCTAGAATCTGGTTCCTTAGTTCACTGATCCCTGTTTCAGTACGTCATTATGGACAATAAATTCATCCCTCTTTTGTCCTGTCTGTGTGTGATATGGGTAGTAAGGCTAAAAAAAGCAATGTTAAGATAGTCCTACTATCACTATTATGTGATAAAATGCTTAAATAATTGATTTTGGGTCTGTTTAGAGCCGTCATTATTATTTTATTTTCACGTTATTGTCAAATTATCCAGATGATTGTCCATGATGACAGGGTGAACGTGTTCGACGGCAGTGGGCGGCAGGTGTCAAGTTTCGGCTCCAGAGGACATGCTGATGGACAGTTTCTGTGTCCCATTGGCCTTGCCTTCAGCCACGTCTCTAAGGAGGTCTTCATCACAGGTGATTGCTCTCTCTCCCTCACCTCTTGATAATAGTTTTACTATACAACGAAATGTGATGAAAAAAGATAGAGCTATCATTCAGCTCCCCCTGTGGTTGTTTTGCATATATATATATATATATATATATATATATATATATATATATATATATATAATATATATATATAATATATATATATATATAATATATATATATATATATATATATATATAATATATATATTTAACAAGTCGGGCCGTCTCCCACCGAGGCAGGGTGACCTAAAAAGAAAGAAAATCCCCAAAAAGAAAATACTTTCATCATCATTCAACACTTTCACCTCACTCACACATAATCACTGTTTTTGCAGAGGTGCTCAGAATACAACAGTTTAGAAGCATATACGTATAAAGATACACAACATATCCCTCCAAACTGCTAATATCCCAAACCACTCCTTTAGAGTGCAGGTATTGTACTTCCCATTTCCAGGACTCGAGTCCGGCTATACAAAAATAACCGGTTTCCCTGAATCCCTTCACTAAATATTACCCTGCTCACACTCCAACAGATCGTCAGGTCCCAAATACCATTCGTCTCCATTCACTCCTATCGAACACGCTCACACACGCCTGCTGGAAGTCCAAGCCCCTCGCCCACAAAACCTCCCTTACCCCTTCCTTCTAACCTTTTCGAGGAAGACCCCTACCCAGCCTTCCTTTCCCTACAGATTTAAACGCTCTCCATGTCATTCTACTTTGATCCATTCTCTAAATGACCAAACCACTTCAACCCCTCTTCAGCCCTCTGACTAATACTTTTATTAACTCCACACCTAATCTCCACACTCCGAATTTTCTGCATAATATTTACACCACACATTGCCCTTAGACAGGACATCTCCACTGCCTCCAACCTCCTCCTCGCTGCTGAATTCACAACCCAAGCTTCACACCCATATAAGAGTGTTGGTGCCACTATACTTTCATACATTCCCTTCTTTGCCTCCATAGATAACGTTTTTTTGTATCCACATATACCTCAGTGCACCACTCACCTTTTTTCCCCTCATCAGTTCTATGATTAACCTCATCCTTCATAAATCCCTCCGCTGACACGTCAACTCCCAAGTATCTGAAAACATTCACTTCTTCCATAGTCCTCCTCCCCAATTTGATATCCAATTTTTCTTTATCTTAATCATTTGATACCCTCATCACCTTACTCTTTTCTATGTTCACTTTCAAATTTCTACCTTTACACACACTCCCAAACTCATCCATTAACCTTTGCAATTTTTCATTAGAATCTCCCATAAGCACAGTATCATCAGCAAAAAGCAACTGTGTCAATTCCCATTTTGTATTTGATTCCCCATAATTTAATCCCACCCCTCTCCCGAACACCCTAGCATTTACTTCTTTTACAACCCCATCTATAAATATATTAAACAACCATGGTGACATTACACATCCCTGTCTAAGACCTACTTTTACCGGGAAGTATTCTCCCTCTTTTCTACACACCCTAACCTGAGCCTCACTATCCTCATAAAAACTCTTTAAAGCATTTAGTAACTTACCACCTATTTCACATACTTGCAACATCTGCCACATTGCTCCCCTATCCACTCTATCATATGCCTTTTCTAAATCCATAAATGCAATAAAAACTTCCCTACCTTTATCTAAATACTGTTCACATATATGCTTCAATGTAAACACTTGATCTACACATCCCGTACCCACTCTGAAGCCTCCCTGCTCATCCGGAATCCTACATTCTGTCTTACCTCTAATTCTTTCAATTATAACCCTACCGTATACTTTTCCTGGTATACTCAGTAAACTTATTCCTCTATAATTTTTACAATCTCTTTTGTCCCCCTTCCCTTTATATAAAGGGACTATACATGCTCTCCGCCAATCCCTAGGTACCTTCCCCTCTTTCATACATTTATTAAACAAAAATACCAACCATTCCAACACCATATCCCTCCCTGCTTTTAACACTTCTGTCATGATCCCGTCAGTACCAGCTGCTTTACCCCCTTTCATATATATATACATGTCGTGCCGAATAGGCAAAACTTGCGATCTTGGCTTAAATAGCAACGCTCATCTTGCCATATAGGACAAGTGAAAATTTGTGTATGCAATAATTTCGCCAAAACCATTCTGAACCTAACGAAAAAAATATATTTCACTGTGTTTGTTTAGTATTAAATTATTGTAAACAAATCTAAAATATATTTAGTTGGGTTAGGCTAAAATAAATTGCGCTTGTTATAATAAGGTTAGGTAAGTTTTCTAAGAGTCTTTTGGTGCAAAATGAAATTTTTTTACATTAACATTAATGAAAAATATTTATCTTTAAACATATAAGAAAAATTTTAGAAAGTACTTAATTTTAAATGAGTTTTTGCTAATTGACCAGTTTTACATATTCGGCACGACACACACACACACACATATATAATATATATATATATATATATATATATATATATATATATATTTTATATATAATATATATAAATATATATATATATATATATATATATATATATATGTATATATATATATATATATATGTATATAATATATATATATATGTATATATATATATATGTATATATATATAAATATATATATATATATATATAATATATAATATATATAATATAAATATATATATATATATATATATATATATATATATATATAATATATATATATATAAACTCCATACCTAATTTCCACATTCCGAATTTTCTGCATAATATTTACACCACACAGGACACCTACGATGCCTTGTACCTTCTCACAAAGTGCTTGAGTCTGCCCAGGTTGACATATGTCCTAAGATGTGCACCTTCATATGATAACCCTATACTGCACGAATATGACAGTATTCTGAGGCAGATTTTTACGAAAGTACATAACCTTACTCTAGAAGACGGGAAGTGGAACCAAGCTACACTTCCAGTCAGACTAGGAGGCATTGGTGTCCGCAAGTTATCACAGATTGCGTTACCTGCTTTTCTGTCCTCGTGTATTGCATCCAGAGAGCTTGTAGCAGCGATTCTCCCTGAACATCTTAGGAACAAGATTGGAGTCCAGGACCAAAAATTCATTGACGGAGCAATGATCTGGGATAATCTAACGGGCTCTGAAACCAGACCTGCTCCCCCCAACAACTACAAACAATCGCACTGGGAGTGAGAGCCCCTCATGCTGGGGACTTTCTGTTGGCTGTTGCCAACTCCAGCCTTGGCACACGCCTCGACCCACAGACTATCCGCATCGGTGTTGCCCTTCGACTTACCGCCCCTATTCTCGCCGAACACAGGTGTATTTGTGGCAGTGAAGCAGCAGACCGATTCGGGTACCATGGTCTTCTGTGCCGTAAATCCGAGGGAAAGACTGCAAGACATGAGGAGGTTAATAACATTATCAAGAGGAGCCTCACAACAGCTGGATGCCCAGCACTAAGGGAGCCACCCCAACTATGCAGATCTGATGGCAGCCAGAAGCGTCCAGATGGTATCACCCTTCAAGTTTGGACAGATGGGAAGCAGGTGGTGTGGGACTATACATGTGCATCTACCTTGGCTGATACCTATCTCCACTACACCAGGGAGGAAGGAGGGGCAGCTGCCAGCTTCAGGGAGTCCCAAAAGTCTAGAAAATATGGAGAACTTGCCCATCATTATATGTTTGTTCCCATAGGCTCGGAGACCCTTGGCTCATGGGGAAAGAGTGCATCTAAATTCCTTAAGGAGCTGGGAAAAAGACTCATCAGAGTAACTAGGGATCCCAGGGCAGCTAGTTTTTCCTGTTCCATGGCTCAGTGCGGCTGTTCAAAGGGGTAATGCCTGCTTATTTTGGGCACACGCCCCAGCCTGAGGAGCTGGATAAGATTTTCGCCTTGTAATCGGTGTTACACACGTAACAACATGTACCTTATATGCCACCACCTTTATATCAACAATGTATCTCTTAAATCTTCTGTACCATATTATGTAATAAAATATTCATATAATATATATAATATATATATATATATATATATATATAGATATATATATATATATATATATAATATATATATATATATATATATATATATATATATATAATATACACACACACACACACACACACACACGTTAAAAATTTCAGCTACTTTTTTCCTTCTAATTCCTACAATGGAATACTTATATCCTTGCGTTCTAAAGACTCAACAAGTGTATTCTCTAACACAGACAAGTGGAAGCATTGCATCCACGTCTTCGACACGGATGGTAACTTTATTCGACAGCTGGGTCGTAAAGGCAAAGGGTTTGGACACTTCTCCTCCCCGGAGGGCATCGCCACGGATCGCCACGGCAATATTTATGTGGCTGACACCTGTAATCATCGTGTGCAGGTTAGTGTTAGTGTGTGTTTGCGGGATTAAACTACAGCTCCTGGTTTCTGGGTCTTCAAATTAGGTGGAGTGATGGGATTTTGACCTGTAGTACTGTATTTACTTTTTAATCAATTGGTAAACTCACTTATTACTCCATCGTGACCAACATACAAAATGATATATTACTTTTTCATGAAATGAGGTGTGATTATTGAATATACGAAATAGTAATTTCAACAAGCATTTTAGTTGTTTATTATGGTCAACATCGGAAGGAATTTTTGGAGAAAAAATGCTTGTCTTACATTGTTAAGATCGCAGACAGACGATATAAGATTGTCAATTTAAATAGTCCAACAACCAAATTTAATTAAATTTGGTTGTTATTAAAATCATCTTTTACCTTGCCTGCCGCCCCTCCGTCAGATCCTAGACGGAGACGGGGTGTTCCTGAGGGAGGTGGGCGTTGTGTCCTCGGAGACGCTGCAGGACGGTCGTCGGTACACGAAGAGCGAGTTCAATGAGCCCACTGGCGTCGCCGCCAGTCTTGATGGCTCCCGGGTGTACGTGGCAGACGCAGGCAACCACAGGATCAAGGTAGCTCACTCCAGGTCATATTTCAACACTCAAACTCAGACCACTAAGTTCGGCACAAATATGCCAGCGGTCACTGCTACGACATACACTCATCGCACTGAAGTCTTCACTCTCAGGATGGGTAGAGAGCTAAATTTACAAACGGCATTTTCCTACATGAGGTTTTTCAAGTTTTCTAGCTTTTTGAAGTCTAGAAAAAGGAGAAGAGCTCATGTATTTTCTGTTGGGTATAATTCTGCGTCTGTAAACGAAGTAAACAGCAATATGTTATTTTATTTAGAGAATTAATTTCGCGTTGTACTAGTAAACAACAAAAAAAACTACTTCCTTGGTAATGCTATATTATGTATTCTTAAAATATATTTGAAAAATGTGATTAGCGTCAAACCTCTCACAGGTGTTCAACGGAACGAGTGGAGAGCGAGTGTTGATGTTTGGGTCTCGAGGCCGCCATAAGGGTCAGTTTGAAACCCCGGAGTGCATCGTGGTCGACCCTGAGGGCTTCATCGTCGTCGGCGACTCCGGCAACGGCCGCATTCAGGTCTTCAGGCCCAACGGCAATTTCGTCAGGTAGGTCTCGGATTCCTGGGAAATGAAGGGGTGAACAGCATGTGAAGTGGGAACTTAAGACCAGACAGCAAATATCACTAAAACAATAAAAAATGGTGAAATGGTACACATAAAAGACAAACATTAAAGCCACTTTGTTTATAGGAATAAAAAAGAATGAAACTTAAAAGTGACAATAGCCAGGACTGTTTGTTGAAACTGGCGTTACTGGGATAAATTTGATTCAGGAACTCTACAAAGGATTTTACAGATAGTACAATGTCTGTTGTTTGGGCACCACCACTCTATGAACACCTTACTTGCTGATACCTGGGTACCACTGTAAATATCCTATGTGCTTGTACTTGGGTACCACCACACTGTAAACATCGTACTAGGTGGTATCTGGGTACTACCACTTTATAAACACCTGACTGCTTGATACCTAAGTGCCACCACACTTCAAACACCTTATTTGCAAGTATCTGGGAGTGACCATACTGTAAACACTTTATTGACAGGTATCTGGGTATCACCACAATGTAAATACCTTATTTGCAGGTACCTGGGCACCAGAGGTAACAGCCACGGAGAGTTGGGCTGGGTATCAGGAGTGGGACTCTCCAAGACACTCGACGTAGTCGTCACTGACTTCAAGAACAACCTCGTAGCTGTATACTGAACCAGCTAGACACAACAACAACGCCCTGAAGTACTAAACCCGCGTGGGGTCATTCAGCACAAGGAATGGCGGAAGCTCGATCCACTGTCCGCTAACCGCAGCCCGGTCTCTGTTCAATCTACGAGAATTGAAATATATTATCACTAAATTTAGGTTGAAGCGCTAAATCCGTAAGGATCCCACAGCGCCTGGGGAATGGGAGTTATGGGGATTAACAGCTGTTGATCCGAGGAAGGGTAGATTAACCCCCAGTTCCTGAGATCAAGAGCCTTCCATGAGTACCAAGGCACCTTTCCTTTCTTTGAAGCGATGCTGCACTCTGGTGCATAATCAATAGACTTAAGAGAGATAATCTTCAATAATTTATCACTGACGGAAATATAATCTGGAGTATAATATATATGATAATTTTCGATTATATTAAACTCACATGATTTCATATATTTAACTCTATAGTGCTGTATTTTGTTATTTGTTAGTGTGTGAATACTAGTTTAATTTGTTAATTATATTCTGGTGGTACCATGATGGTGTCATTGTATCCGGATGGTACCATGACTATCATGGTAAGTCATTGTATCCTGGTGGTATCGTGACTGTGGTGTATCTTGGTGGTACCATGACTGTCATGGCGAGTCATTGTATCCTGGTGGTACCATGACTGTGATGGTGAGTTATTGTATTCTAGTGGTACCATGATGGTGAGTCATTGTATCCTGGTGGTACCATGACTGATGGTGTCATTGTATCCTGGTGGTACCATGACCATGATATCAAGTCTGGCTGTGATTACGGTCAATAGTATTTGTTGACATTGGCATTGATGTAAATAAATAGTTCACTACTTGTTTCTTCTCTCGTTTTATTGGCATCACAGTGTATACCAAAAAATATACCAAATTATTAGTATATACATTATTTATCCACTTAAGTTGTCCAGTATACCTTTATTCAGGGAAAAATAATTGCTATGTAAGACAAGAAAACATTGATTTCACAGAATTTAAACTCGAGAATAGCGTAGTATTTATCACCAGTGGACGCTACTTCACTGGTCACTTTACATTATTATCGCAAAACCTCCAGAATATCAATGTGGACACCGTATACAAACTTGTGAGGGGTTCTTGGATACGAGGTGATGGTTTTGACCGTACAAATTTCCTCTGCACTTAACCTTTGTGGATAAAATGATGAAGAACCAACAGGGTCAGAGTTACTCGTGCACAAAGAAATAGACTTACTATTGATGGGGAGATCGTCTCTGTCTAAGGTCTTTCCAGTTGACTACCACCTAGCAAGTTTGATCCTAAAGTTTCTGGTCTAGGAGCAAATCCCCGTGCTACAAGATGATCGATTACTTGCAAATATTGATTAAAAGAGAGAGCAGTAGCCTAAAGGCAAGGTTAATAATTAATTCATATTATATTCCAGGTTAACTGACAAAATTGGTATTTTCAAATTTGCCTATTCTGGATATTTACCCCTTTGATAAATGCCTCAATCAAACCTTTGTTGGACCACGATTTATACATTTTGATGTCAATTAATATCACTCACTAAGGCAAAGATCTGATACATTTAAGAGGCACGTAAATTCCCCCGTCTTCTAATAACATGTTCATTTTTCCACTATAATACTATACAAGGTAGATTATAGTGGAAAAATGAGGATGTTATTAGAAGACGGGGGAAACTTAAGTGCCCCTTAAACCTCGGTGGGAGAGTTAAGCTTATATAGGCTGATTTTCACACTCTCCATATCTGTACTTTAAAGATGATCCTACACAAGCACCAAGACGGAAGTGGAGTCACAGAAGTACTATTCAGTGGCCACTGTTTTTAGGTATACCCTTCTAGCACTGGGTAGAGTCCCCATTTGCCCACAGAAAAGCCTGAAGTCTTCGTGGTTTGAATTCAACAAGGTACTAGAAACATTCCTTACAGATTTCGGTTCCATACTGACATGATAGCATCAAGCAGTTGCTGCAAATTTGCCGGCTGCACATTCATGCTGCAGTTATCCCGTTCCACCACTTCCACACCATCTGCATATCGCAGCAGAAATCGCGAGCCGTCAGACCAGGCGAGGTTTTTCTAATCTTCAGGTGTCTAGGTTTGGTTAGCCTGTGTCCACTATAGCCTCAATTTCTTGTATGAAAGAAGTGGAACCCAGTATGGTCTGCTCATGTATCATATCCACTTCAAGGATCAACATGTTATGCGATCAATAGATGCTCTTCTGCTTACCACTGTTGTAACGTGTGGTTATTTGAGTTACAGTCGCCTTTCTGTCAGCTTGAACCAGTCTGGCCACCCTCCTCTTTCTCATTAACTAGGTATTTTCGCACACAACTTCCGCTGACTGGATGTTTTGTGTTTTTCGCACCATTCTATGTCAACTCCAAAGACTGTTGTGCGTGAAAATCCCATTTCATCAGTTTCTGAGATACACTAACCACCGTTTGGCACCAATAATCGCATTTTTTCCCCATTCTGATGTTTGGTGTGAACAATTGAAGCTCTTAACAATATCTGCGTGCTTACAGGCACCGAGGTGCTGCCACGAGACTGGCTGATTTAGATATTTGCATCAAAGAGCAGGTGTACTACTAATGTAGTGGCCGATGAGTGTATTAAAGACATCATATCTCAATATTTTAAATATTTGTATCTTGTATGACACCTCTAACAGTACATATAAAATGGCCCAATTTTAAATAGGGTAAAACCTACTTCCGGTAGAGCAGGGGATGTTTGTTAATTAGGCCTATTAACATACAAAAACTGAAGGGGATTACTATAGGACATTTAACATAATAATTAAAAATATTAAAAAATCAAATACTTAAAAAAAGTTTTATTTATTTTAATACTTAAAAATACTTAAAAATCAATCACAGTACGACAGGTATGATTATTATCTTTAAGTTATTAAATTTTCATAACATGAAATCCTAAGCGAAATACCACAGGAATTTACATTTGTCTTCAAGGCAAATGTAAATTCCTTCAATGATTTATAAATAAATCATTAGATAAACTTAATTCTAATGTGGTCACAATCGCTTATCAGAGCATAATTCTTCGTTACTACTTTAGGTGCTTCAACTCTGAGATTATTAGCACCTCAGAACACACTGAAGGTAACTCTAGGGGACAAACACATCACATTTGGACTGCCATAAGACCTACCACTAAATTAACACAAGAACATAAGAAAGAAAGAACACTGCAGCAGACCTACTGGCCTGCTACCATAAAATCCGAGGAATGAGATACTTGTGCAATACTTGGGTATCTTTACCGGGGAAACGTTTCGCCAGCTAATGGCTTCCTCAGTCCAATAAAGAGAAGAATAGTTGAAGATCAGGAGTTTGAGGTAATCAGTCCCTCCCCAATAAGGATACCCAAGTGTTTCACAAGTGTCTTATTCATCAACCTGTCGATTTTCTGAACCATTTATCTACAACCAGAGGCGACAAGAGGCGACTGCTGGCTCACTGATGGTAACAACCAAAACTACAACAAAATCTGACTGAAGATTTACAATGCTGCAACTAAGGCACTTTCTCCCAATTTTTTCAAGCGTCGACAACCAACCTTATCACTAATAAAATGTCATATATTGTTGCTCATGACCCATAGCATCTGCAGTGTCATGAAAGTTAACTTATAGTAGTGTTTTTGGTCTTTGTTTCTTGTAGTCTGCATGTAAATCCTGTATTGAAATCTCGCAGATGTCTGAGAGCCCCTGTTATCACCGTAATGGAAGTTATTCTCATCACGAGTTGGTTATGCCCGGAGAGATTTAAATAATTACAGGTTATGTTCAGTAACCATGTTGCCGGACGAGTTACAGCCTGTTTTCTTTTCTTTAAGTTGCTTGTTTGTTGCTAAATATGTTTCTGAAGGTTTATATATCTTAAAAACACGTGAACACCTACCATTCCCCGAAGTTCTGTATGACCAGTGCGAGTTTAGTGCTTCACTGTGTTTGTTTTATTGTGTTGTGTTGCATTTTAGTTGTTTATGAGTTGGCATCTAAGGTAGCCCAGAGTCTGCGCCTCTTGGCTAAATTTGGCAGGTAGCTCGCCGGTCCCAGATTTTGAGCACCGTCATCCTCTCATTAATACCGGACTCCGGATATCAATATATATTTTTTAATATTTGTTTAGTTACGTGAACAAGACAATTAGCATACGAAAGATTTGTGTTAATGTAACAAATGATTCAAGGCTTAATACGGTTCACTACAACTGCAATACATTAAAAAAACATAATTTAAACGATATGTACGCGCACCAGTGACACTCAAGGTCATATACACCGAAAAGTCTGTATCTGTCGGTGTATTAACACTAATAGTTTATTAATTCTTATTCTAAAAGGTTAAAAACATTCTCGACTAGTGTTGTGCAGGCGACATGTGATCTTAGCCGACAGGTCTTAAAATATATTAATAATAAACAGAACCGACAAGGAGGTAAATAAGACACATATTGACCACTTGGATATCTTTAACATGGAGACGTTGCACCAACCAGTGGCTTATCAATCCAATACAGTCAATCAAGACTTAATGAACTGAACACCTTTCAAGGCTGAAGAATTGCTCATCTCAAACTACCTCACGTCTTCCACTGTCTTCAAAAGGGTTACCAAGGTTGAGAGACTGATTATCTCAAAAGAGTTTTTTTCATGTTTTCCAGTTTTCGTTATTCTCTGTATTGGACTGATAAAGCCAAGAGTAGTAAATCTATCTTAGTTGACAAACCTTAAACCCAATGAACCAACCAACCTCCGAGACGCTGAAAATACTAGAGTAACATATTTAGGTTGTGGATTGAGACACTTATGCAACATATGGGAATCTTTATTAAGGAAACGTTTCGCCACACAGTGACTTCATCAGTCCAGTACAAAGCATAAGTGTCTCAATCTTCAACTTGTCGGGTTTCAAAACAATTTATCACACATTTAAGCAGTGCATGGAGCGTCCAACTGTGAAAAAAAATTGCCTAGAGCCACTTGTCAACGTAACAATTATGTATTTAGTAATTACAAATGATACAAAAATACATAAAATATTACAAGTAAATAAAGAAAATACACAAACAAGGAAACCACAGGCAGTGATATGATGATATTAATAAATATGATACAAGACCCACATGGAAGAACATGGTAAAATTGGAGTTGCATATACGTCTCCTTACACCGGACGCCATTGTTCACCTAACCGTGGACAAGAATAGGAGTGTTAGTCGAATGCTGTGCATCACCAGGTAAGGAAGATGGTACTTTACCTCAGGGCTGCAATTTGAACCGAGTTGAAGCAGAAGCCCGAAGGCTCTTAAATACATGGCGTTGCTGAAAATATTGAAGAAAAATTGTCAATTAGTTTCGATCTTTTTCAAGCATAACTTCAAAAAATATCCTACACAGATCCAAAAGTTGTACCGACAAAAGCGCTTCTTTTTTGAAAACTTCACTCAAGAACCAGTAATTTAACCCTCGAAAAAGTGTCTTCTCGCAGGGTTAAACCAGGAAAGTTGGTACGAAAGTCGAGAATAGTTTTGCTACTTGAATCATCGGAGAAGCTAAATTCTCAGTCCACGTCACTTGGCACAAGAACACCACGCTGAACACATCCAGCTCCGCAACGTCTTCAGGTGTTTTGGGGAATTTTGGCGAAAGCTGAAAGTACTAAGCATCTCTTGACTTTAAATATCTTGAAGTCCTGCTTCTTGCTCTCTGGTGAGTCCTAGTTATTTATGGCTATTTACAGATATCTTCAATTGGTTAGGATATTAATAAGGTATAGAGCCTGTTAAGAATAATTTAATCCCTAATATATATATATATATATATATATATATATATATATATATATATATATATATATATATATATATATAATATATATATATATATATATATATATATATATATATATATATATATATATATATATATATATATATATATATATATATATATATATATATATATATACATATGTATATATATATATATATATATATATATAATATATATATATATATATATATATATATATATATATATATATATATATATATATATATATGTCGTGCCGAATAGGCAGAACTTGCGATCTTGGCTTAAATAGCAACGCTCATCTTGCCATATAGGACAAGTGAAAATTTGTGTATGCAATAATTTCGCCAAAATCATTCTGAACCTAACGAAAAAAATATATTTCACTGTGTTTGTTTAGTATTAAATTATTGTAAACAAATCTAAAATATATTTAGTCGGGTTAGGTTAATATAAATTGCTCTTGTTATAATAAGGTTAGGTAAGTTTTCTAAGATTCTTTTGGTGCAAAATTAAAAATTTTTACATTAACATTAATGAAAAAAATATATCTTTAAACGTATAAGAGAAAATTTTAGAAAGGACTTAATTTTAAATGAGTTCTTGCTAACTGACCAGTTTTACATATTCGGCACGACATATATATATATATGTCGTGCCGAATATGTAAAACTGGTCAATTAGCAAGAACTCATTTAAAATTAAGTCCTTTCTGAAACTTTCTCTTATACGTTTAAAGATATATTTTTTTCATTAATGTTAATGTAAAAGTTTTTAATTTTGCACCAAAAGAAACTTAGAAAACTTACCTAACCTTATTATAACAAGAGCAAATTATTTTAACCAAACCCAACTAAATATATTTTAAATACGTTTACAATAATTTAGTACTAAACAAACACTATCAAATATGTTTTTTTCGTTAGGTTCAGAATGATTTTGGAGAAATTTTAGCATACACAAATTTTCACTTGTCCTATATGGCAAGATGAGCGTTGCTATTTAAGCCAAGATCGCAAGTTCTGCCTATTCGGCACGACATATATATATATATATATATATTATATATATATATATATATATATATATATAATATATATATATATAGTAGGTTGGTAGACAGCAACCACCCAGGGAAGTACTACCGTCCTGCCAGATGACTGTGAAACAAAAACCTGTAACTGTTTTGCATGATGGTAGGATTGCTGGTTTCTTTTTCTGTCTCATAAACACGCTAAGATAACAGGGATATCTTGCTACTCCTACTTACACTTTGGTCACACTTCATAGACACGCACATGCATATATATATATACATACATCTAGGTTTTTTCTCCTTTTTCTAAATAGCTCTTGTTCTTTTTTATTTCTTCTATTGTCCATGGGGAAGTGGAAAAGAATCTTTCCTCCGTAAGCCATGCGTGTCGTATGAGGCGACTAAAATGCCGGGAGCAATGGGCTAGTAAACCCCTTCTCCTGTATACAATTACTAAAAAAGAGAAGAAGAAAAACTTTATAAAACTGGGTTGCTTAAATGTGCGTGGATGTAGTGCGGATGACAAGAAACAGATGATTGCTGATGTTATGAATGAAAAGAAGTTGGATGTCCTGGCCCTAAGCGAAACAAAGCTGAAGGGGGTAGGGAGTTTCAGTGGGGGAAATAAATGGGATTAAATCTGGAGTATCTGAGAGAGTTAGAGCAAAGGAAGGGGTAGCAGTAATGTTAAATGATCAGTTATAAGGAAGGAGAAAAGAGAATATGAATGTGTAAATTCAAGAATTATGTGGATTAAAGTAAAGGTTGGATGCGAGAAGTGGGTCATAATAAGCGTGTATGCACCTGGAGAAGAGAGGAATGCAGAGGAGAGAGAGAGATTTTGGGAGATGTTAAGTGAATGTATAGGAGCCTTTGAACCAAGTGAGAGAGTAATTGTGGTAGGGGACTTGAATGCTAAAGTAGGAGAAACTTTTAGAGAGGGTGTGGTAGGTAAGTTTGGGTGCCAGGTGTAAATGATAATGGGAGCCCTTTGATTGAACTTTGTATAGAAAGGGGTTTAGTTATAGGTAATACATATTATAAGAAAAAGAGGATAAATAAGTATACACGATATGATGTAGGGCGAAATGACAGTAGTTTGTTGGATTATGTATTGGTAGATAAAAGACTGTTGAGTAGACTTCAGGATGTACATGTTTATAGAGGGGCCACAGATATATCAGATCACTTTCTAGTTGTAGCTACACTGAGAGTAAAAGGTAGATGGGATACAAGGAGAATAGAAGCATCAGGGAAGAGAGAGGTAAAGGTTTTATAAACTAAAAGAGGAGGCAGTTAGGGTAAGATATAAACAGCTATTGGAGGATAGATGGGCTAATGAGAGCATAGGCAATGGGGTCGAAGAGGTATGGGGTAGGTTTAAAAATGTAGTGTTAGAGTGTTCAGCAGAAGTTTGTGGTTACAGGAAAGTGGGTGCAGGAGGGAAGAGGAGCGATTGGTGGAATGATGATGTAAAGAGAGTAGTAAGGGAGAAAAAGTTAGCATATGAGAAGTTTTTACAAAGTGGAAGTGATGCAAGGAGGGAAGAGTATATGGAGAAAAAGAGAGAAGTTAAGAGAGTGGTGAAGCAATGTAAAAAGAGAGCAAATGAGAGAGTGGGTGAGATGTATCAACAAATTTTGTTGAAAATAAGAAAAGTTTTGGAGTGAGATTAACAAGTTAAGAAAGCCTAGAGAACAAATGGATTTGTCAGTTAAAAATAGGAGAGGAGAGTTATTAAATGGAGAGTTAGAGGTATTGGAAGATGGAAGGAATATTTTGAGGAATTGTTAAATGTTGATGAAGATAGGGAAGCTGTGATTTCGTGTATAGGGCAAGGAGGAATAACATCTTGTAGGAGTGAGGAAGAGCCAGTTGTGAGTGTGGGGGAAGTTCGTGAGGCAGTAGGTAAAATGAAAGGGGGTAAGGCAGCCGGGATTGATGGGATAAAGATAGAAATGTTAAAAGCAGGTGGGGTATATAGTTTTTGGAGTGGTTGGTGCAATTATTTAATAAATGTATGGAAGAGGGTAAGGTACCTAGGGATTGGCAGAGAGCATGCATAGTTCCTTTGTATAAAGGCAAAGGGGATAAAAGAGAGTGCAAAAATTATAGGGGGATAAGTCTGTTGAGTGTACCTGGTAAAGTGTATGGTAGAGTTATAATTGAAAGAATTAAGAGTAAGACGGAGAATAGGATAGCAGATGAACAAGGAGGCTTTAGGAAAGGTAGGGGGTGTGTGGACCAGGTGTTTACAGTGAAACATATAAGTGAACAGTATTTAGATAAGGCTAAAGAGGTCTTTGTGGCATTTATGGATTTGGAAAAGGCGTATGACAGGGTGGATGGGGGGCAATGTGGCAGATGTTGCAAGTGTATGGTGTAGGAGGTAGGTTACTGAAAGCAGTGAAGAGTTTTTACGAGGATAGTGAGGCTCAAGTTAGAGTATGTAGGAAAGAGGGAAATTTTTTCCCAGTAAAAGTAGGCCTTAGACAAGGATGTGTGATGTCACCGTGGTTGTTTAATATATTTATAGATGGGGTTGTAAGAGAAGTAAATGCGAGGGTCTGGCAAGAGGCGTGGAGTTAAAAGATAAAGAATCACACACAAAGTGGGAGTTGTCACAGCTGCTCTTTGCTGATGACACTGTGCTCTTGGGAGATTCTGAAGAGAAGTTGCAGAGATTGGTGGATGAATTTGGTAGGGTGTGCAAAAGAAGAAAATTAAAGGTGAATACAGGAAAGAGTAAGGTTATGAGGATAACAAAAAGATTAGGTGATGAAAGATTGAATATCAGATTGGAGGGAGAGAGTATGGAGGAGGTGAACGTATTCAGATATTTGGGAGTGGACGTGTCAGCGGATGGGTCTATGAAAGATGAGGTGAATCATAGAATTGATGAGGGAAAAAGAGTGAGTGGTGCACTTAGGAGTCTGTGGAGACAAAGAACTTTGTCCTTGGAGGCAAAGAGGGGAATGTATGAGAGTATAGTTTTACCAACGCTCTTATATGGGTGTGAAGCGTGGGTGATGAATGTTGCAGCGAGGAGAAGGCTGGAGGCAGTGGAGATGTCGTGTCTGAGGGCAATGTGTGGTGTGAATATAATGCAGAGAATTCGTAGTTTGGAAGTTAGGAGGAGGTGCGGGATTACCAAAACTGTTGTCCAGAGGGCTGAGGAAGGGTTGTTGAGGTGGTTCGGACATGTAGAGAGAATGGAGCGAAACAGAATGACTTCAAGAGTGTATCAGTCTGTAGTGGAAGGAAGGCGGGGTAGGGGTCGGCCTAGGAAGGGTTGGAGGGAGGGGTAAAGGAGGTTTTGTGTGCGAGGGGCTTGGACTTCCAGCAGGCATGCGTGAGCGTGTTTGATAGGAGTGAATGGAGACAAATGGTTTTTAATACTTGACGTGCTGTTGGAGTGTGAGCAAAGTAACATTTATGAAGGGATTCAGGGAAACCGGCAGGCCGGACTTGAGTCCTGGAGATGGGAAGTACAGTGCCTGCACTCTGAAGGAGGGGTGTTAATGTTGCAGTTTAAAAACTGTAGTGTAAACCACCCTTCTGGCAAGACAGTGATGGAGTGAATGATGGTGAAAGTTTTTCTTTTTCGGGCCACCCTGCCTTGGTGGAATGGGCCCGGGTGTGATAAAAAAAAAAAAAAAAATAAATATATATATATATATATATGTATATATATATATATATATATATATATATATATATATATATATATATATATATAAAATATATATATATATATATATACACTCATATAATGTGTGTGTGCGTGTGTGTCGTGTCGAATAGGTAAAACTTGCAATTTTGGCTTAAATAGCAACGCTCTTCTTGCCGAATAAGGCGAGCGAAAATTTGTGTATGCAGTAATTTCGCAAAAATCATTCTGAGCCTAACGAAAAAACATTTCATTGTGTTTGTTTATTATTAAATTATTGTAAACTTATCAAAAATATATTTAGTTGGATTAGGCCAAATTAAATTGCGCTTGTTATAATAAGGTTAGGCAAGTTTTCTAAGATTCTTTTACAACAAAATTATTAATTTTTACATTAACATAAATGAAAAAAATCTTTAAACGTATAAGAAAATTCTTTAGAAAGGACTTAATTTTAAATGAGTTCTTGCTAATTGATCAGTTTTACCTATTCGGCACGACATACATATTCTCGTGTATCTTTTGGCTACACCGAAACTGTATGAAAACACCAACGACAATAATAACAGCAGCAACAACAACAACAATAATAATAATAATAATAATAATAATAATAATAATAATAATAATAATAATAATAATAATTTATTAAGGAAAGGTTTCGCCGAGAGTGGCTTTTACAGTGCTAGTAGAGCCAATTAAGATAAAAATATATATAGTAGCGGGAGTTACGTGGCAAGTGGCAAGCTGTGAGAGGGCAGAGGTAGCTGTAGTAGTGATGTTGAGGCGTGGTAGGTCGGGTTTGTGAAAGACCTGCAAGCAGCGGAGTAAAATATAAAATTTAATGCTTCCTTGAGCAGAGGTGACGTCGATGTCTGGTGTTAACTAATGACAGTGTCCAGGTTGGGTAGTAAGCGTTTTGTTAAGACAAAAAATTGTATAGAAACCGGACTTTTGTGGTGCTGGTTAGTGCTGTCATGGTGGCCCATCAACACCCTCGACGGCGTTGGTCATTTTCACGTAAAATTAGTTTAGCATTTTCGAATTTCGTTAGGTGGCCCTACTTGCGTCTGTATTGGGCACGCATTTTTCTGGTAATCGCGTCTCCTCGTATTTTTATGTTTGCGTATTTTTACTTCCAAGGATCCTTCTGTTTCGCCCACAGACCGCGGGGGCGTTGATCCCCGAAACCTTCTTCAGGAAAGTTCTTGTCACACTGACAACACACCCGCCAGCACTGGTGGGTGTGTTGTCTATCTAGTCCTTACCAGATCGCTAATAGTGGTTTGTAGCTATTTTAAACTCACTGTCAGCGATACGTTGCTAGCAGGAAGAACAATATATTTAGTGTTTCCTCTGTAGTTGTGCCTGTTGAGAATATGTACTGTACGTTTTCTGCAGTCGGCGATGAAGTGAAGAGAGAAGTGCAGTAGTTTGAAAGCAAGTCGTTCTTGTAAGCAGGTTTTCCATCTACTTTGAATAGGAGTCTTTATCCCTGCCAGTGTGAGTATCACGTCTAAGAATGGAACTGTAAGTGTGAATTTTATGGTCAGCTCCAAGTTGGGGATGCTTTGCACGTTGAGGCTCTTGGACAAAAATGACCAAAATATCGACGTAGCACAACCAGGTGACTAAGTCTGGGGCTGTAGTCTCTATCCTTTGCAAGTATCGTGAATTTAGTATTTTAATGGAAAATACCCAAAGGGCTCTTCAGAATTATTCATTAATATAAATCTATGTTGTACAAAAAATAACAAGTACTTACTGTAAATAAAATAAGGAAATTTTAAGTTAAATGTAGACAGTGTGGCTGATAATTGTGGGAGAAGAAGGAAAATACAGGCCCGAAAATAAACACACACACATATACACAGTATTTATCCTCAGTATTGCACAGGTGTTATAATTTTAGTCTGTGCTGATATACTCAACATTATGGGGCCGGCTGAAAATATTGTGGCGCTCTGATTTACTTTTATAGGCTGTTGGTCGCGTTGTTGGGAAAGTATAAAGGCAGGTAGCATATTATTACAATCATTAGGCAGCGCTAAAGCAGGTAATGTAGATCAGAAATCAATTTGAGTCATTATGGCAGCCTCGAGCCTGAAAATTTAATGGTGCAAGATCATTATCTCGCACTTTTGTCTGAAAGGTGGTGACGTAGACGTTGCCGAACTCACAGCAACACTATTGTTTTTGTTAGGGCAATAACTACCACTTTGGCAAGTGATACTGACACGTAGTTTAAAAAAAAGACAAGTGAGGAAAAACTAGGATATATTAGAAAAAATAAATATATCCTAATAATTGCTCACTCGTCTTCAAATTACTACTATTACTGCTGCTACTACTATTACTACTAGTATTATTATAATCATGGGGAAGCGCTAAACCCGTTAGATTATACAGCGCCTGCGAGGAGGGGGGGTGGAAGATATTCAGGCTTAATTCAAGAGCCCCTCACCAGCGTCAAGGAACCTCCCTTGAGGGGACAAGTAGTAGTAGTGCTGCTGTTACTACTACTACTACTACTACTAGTACTACTACTACTACTGCTATTATTACTACTACTAGTAGGCTCAATTCTCCGTCCTCTGAGTTTAATAATCTCAGATTAAGAGACTGCTATTTATACAGGGCACCGGCATTCAAGGGGGATGGTGATGCCTTGATGTTGGTGAAGGGTCTTGATTTAGGGAATTGGATCTAACCCTTCCGTTTGATGCAGCAGCGTAGTGCACCTGTTTTTTTTTCTTAATACCTCCCCTTCCTCGGATCAAACCTGATTACCTCTCATTTCCCATGATCCCCACGGGTTTAGCGCTTCAGAATAATAATCAAATACTGTTCGAGAAGGAATGAGTTGTTATAAAACTGCTAGGAGACGGTGGTTCGAGCCTCGCAAGAGTGGAAGGCACTGGAAAGACATTCGATTTTTTAATCAAAACATTATTATAAGTTGTAAATATAATTTAGAATATGGGATGGGAGGTAATCAGGTCCGTTTCGAGGAGACGGAGAGGGGGTTGTAGCTCCAATTCCTTGGATCAAGAGTTTTTTTTTTGTCTCTGGCCATAAATATTCGTTTTTCTAGTATCACTTTGGCATTACTGTATTAGTTTTGCTTTGTTGCTTCATCGTTGTTTTATTATATGGCCGTTGCTTTATTGAATCACCATTGGTTGTCCTTGTTTAGCGCTGTGTCCCACCCCTTGAAGGCTTCTCGTACTGAACTTGATATAAATCAGGGAACGGATGGGCTCCTGAAGCTTGAGAACTCACTTGCCATCGGTTCAGACCCCCATCCCTTCCCTGATTTATGTGCAGTTGTGTTATTGTGATTTAGTGAGACAGATGATGACAATGTCTGGGACTTAACGTTAACTCCTGCTTACCTTACAGAGTAGACATGCATGGTGTGAAGCCATTGGTGCACCGGCAGTTTACAATGGTGACGTTAATGTTGTCGGCAACGATGTCGGTGATGTTCACTACTGTGACATTGCTGATAAAGTGTGACTCTCTTGTTGACTCATCCCTACCAGGTGGGTCACCTCTTGAATATAAGGCGCCAAGATAGTTTATTCCTGTCAATTCAGATATTTTGTTTTTATTAGTGAAATAATTATATCAGTATTATATTTCATGCAATAATACGCCCTAAACAAATAGCACTGAGTTTCTCAACAGCGAAACCAAGGAACTACAGATGTCTGATATGAACGTGGACGCAGTATTACCAATAGGTATACAGACTGTCCTCCAAAACAACCACGAACAACTGCCTCTTCGTCTCTATCCTAACCTTGGGAAAGTGGGTTATTTTATAAATGGGTATAGCATTATAAGCAAGAGTAGGAAGACTAGTTATGTCGTAGTAACGCCATGGATGTGTTTGTGGCAGGACGTAGGCTGCTAGATAAAAAAAAAGTCCAGAGAGGTACAACCTTACTGTTATATGAGTGTGAAACGGAAGCTTTTTAAATCCTTTTGCACTTTTTCAGGATTACCTGCATTTTCTAATGTCTATATAATGTAAAATAATGGGTAAATCACACAAATTTCTTCTTTCAGTAAACTGTTATCTTTAATTTTCTGTGCTTTTTAATACTTCGTATTCCCATAGTGTTTCCTTTTCATCTGAGAAACTGTCTGAGGTCAGGCAGCCGGGTGATGATCCAAGGAATCGACCCCTGCAACCACATATAGGTGAGTACATAGAGACAGACACAGACACGCACACAGACATACACACACACAGACATACATTGGGTGTGGGGTTCCAGGTTCCAATTAACCGCCAAGCTGAATGTGAATGGTCTAACTCTCATAGCACGATAAAGAATAGACACTCAAGTATTCAATAAGGAATAGCAATTGGTAATCCATTGAACAAGGCGATTAACTTACTATAAGCTAGGTGGCAGGTCAGGCATAGGCAACATTGTAAGTAGGTGAGCATAAGTCCCAGGAGGGTGGGAGTCAGGTCACAAGAGGTTGTGGACACAAGCGACCACTGAGAATCCACATTACACTCCAAGCACAAGCCACCTACTTTTCAGACACATAATAAACCCACACATAATTCGACACATAATTACACACACACACACACACACACACACACACACACCACCTACCCCCCCTAACCATCCCTCCCTCACACACACACACACATACACACAAGGGCAGACACTCATAGAAGCTTTAGACCCTAGTAGCAATTTCCGCTTTTTATAACCCAGAATTACTGGTATGTATTAACAGTATCTCCCCCTCATACACACATACACACACACACCTGTACTAGGACAAAATAGTAACTAACTAGGCGAATACACACACACACACACACACACACACACACACACACACACACACACACACACACACACACACACACACACACACGCACGCACATACACACACACATATATACACACACACATATATACACACACACATACACACACATACATAGCTTTAAGCAGAGGTATGATAAAGCTCACGGCTCAGGGAGAGTGACCTAGTAGCGATCAGTGAAGAGGCGGGGCCAGGAGCTCGGACTCGACCCCCGCAACCTCAACTAGGTGAGTACAACTAGGTGAGTACACACACACACACACACACACACACACACACACACACACACACACACACACACACACACATACACATGCACATACACACACATACACACACACAGACACACACACACACACACACACACACACACACACACACACACACACACACACACACACACACACACACACTGTAAGTACGTGCGGGTCAAGTCCCAGGAGGTTGGGGGTCAGGTCACAAGAAGTTGTGGGCAGCCAAGGACCACTGAGACTCTACATTACAACGCACAAGCCACCTACCTTTCAGTACATAATAAACCCACACATAATTTCACACAAAATTACACACACACACACACACTCGCTCACCCTCCCCTCCCCTGTTCACCCAGACCCTCCCGACCCCTCCCCACTCCTCTCCCACATAGCCACAGTTCCTCCACTGCCTCCCCCCCACACTCTGACATACACACAACTAACATAACATACAGAACTACATAGGTTTCCCACTCTGAGGCAATCAGGATAAAACAAAAATGGGTTGTCAGAGAGCAACAAGAAAAACCAAGGGACAGGAGGAGGAAGCTGCAAAGGAAGATTGGGCAGCAGAGCTCATAAAAAGGGATCATGAATGGGAAAAGAAACTAGAAGAACTTAGCATGAGAATGGAAGAGAGGATAGATATGGAAAGCAGGAAGTGGGAGGTGCATGTCAAAGCAGCAGAGGCCAGGATACAGAGTTTAGAAGAGGAACTGAAAAATCTGAAACAGCCTAAAGAACTAAAGAACATTTTGGGATTGACAACAGAGACTGCTACCTCAGCCACAAATAAGGGGACAGTAGGGAAAGAAGGAGCACAACTGCATGGAGAGGCTCTATCAGAGGAGACTGTAGTAAATGAAAGAGCTAAGCTTTATGTGGAGGCCCTAACAGACAACTTCAGAGCCCAAGGAAAGCCGAGAAGGGAAAATGACAGGCCACTGAGCCCAAGTACATTAGCCAGTGAAACTGAAGAAAGGAAAGTTGCAGTGGAGGAGACCAAATTAAATGAGGGGATACACAGGGATATGCAATGGGAGAATGAAAGGGTGAGGTCAGTCTTTGTGTATGGGCCCGGGAATTTGAAGGGGAAACATAGAAGAAGAAACAAGGGGAAAAAAAAAATTTGAAAGCATAAAGCAATGGGGAAAGACGCAGACCCCTGGAAAATTTTCGGAGAATGGGGGGGTTTGTTAAAAAAAAAACCCGGCCATGAAAGTGACCTTCAACGAAGCTATCGGAAGAGGTCCGCAGGAGAAAGCACGTTTAAAGGGGACTGCCGGCATAAAAAAGGGTGTTTTGACGCAACAAAACCAAGAAGAAAGCAAAAACTGAAGAGATGGTAAAAGGGGCAAAAAGGAGGAAAGAGAGGGAGGGAAAAGACAGACGGGAGATCCCAACCAGGAAGAAATCAAATACACCCTCCCTCACAATTCCATAGAAGCCTCCCAACCAAAGTCAACCCCAGGCAACCCAAAACACTCTAAAACAAAACACCCTGCCACACCCAATGCCCTCCCCATACATTACAACTTACATTACAGCAAAAAACCCATATTAGACACAAGGCAACACTTGGTCTAAATTTTTCAAAATGTCGGTTCCTGAACCATTCATCTACAAACCCTAGTTTTCCCTTCCAGGTCTCCCCCTTTCCCCCAACCCCCAAACCCCCCAGCCCCAGCTTTGAAAAGAACATTAAAAAGGTAAAAAATACCCAAGGTTGTTAGGTAAGCACTATGCAACAGTTAGGTATCTTTATTATGAAACGTCTGGACTGATTACATCGTCTTCAAGTATCTTCTGCTTTTATCAACTTTTCTGTACTCGACTGAAGAAGCCTACTGTGTAGGCGAAACGTTTCATAATAAAGATACCTAACTGTTGCATATGTGTCTTACCTAACAACCTGTCGGTATTTTATACCATTTTAATGTTCAATCTGTCAGACACTGCAACATAAGGGTATCTTGGTACAGACCTGCAATCAACTTCGACAACTTCCACTAGTGAGAGCGGCTGGATTTGAGAGGGACCTGACCTCTCAACATCTGAGTTCTTATCTCTCCTAGTGGCCTACGTCTCACCTCTTGGCGCTATATAAGCTCCATCCTGTCACTTCATCTCCATATTGTTTCATACTATGGAACAATGCTCTTCTCCAGACTGAGGGACTGACCACCTCAAAACTTTAAGGGTGATGGACTGATTACATCGTCTTCAAGTATCTTCTGCTTCTATCAACTTTTCTGTACTCGACTGAAGAAGCCTACTGTGTAGGCGAAACGTTTCATAATAAAGATACCTAACTGTTGCATATGTGTCTTACCTAACAACACTTAGAAAAGAAGTTGAAGGTGTGGTATACAAATGCAGATGGAATAACAAACAAGTATGAGGAGTGGCACGAAAGAATCAAGGAGACATCCCCAGACATAATAGCACTCACAGAAACAAAACTCACCAGAATAATAACAGATTCAATCTTTCCATCCGGATATCAAATCCTCAGGAAAGACAGAGGGAGGAGAGGGGGAGGAGGTGTTGCACTGCTCATTAAAAACAAGTGGGGTTTTGAGAAAATGGAAGGAATGGATGGCACGGGCGAAAGGGACTACTTAGTAGGAACAATCCAGTCTGAGGGACATAAGGTGATAATTGCAGTAATGTACAACCCACCACAGAACTGCAGGAGGCCAAGAGAAGAATATGATGAGAGCAACAGAGCATTGATCGACACACTAGCCGAGGTGGCCAGGAGAGCACATATGGGGGGAGCAAAGTTACTAGTTATGGGTGATTTCAATCACAAGTGAGATTTGACTGGGAAAACCTGGAGCCCCATGGGGGTCCCGAAACATGGAGAGCCAAGATGATGGATGTGGTACTGGAAAACCTCATGCATCAACATGTTATAGACACTACCAGAGAGAGAGGAGAGGATGAACCAGCAAGACTGGACCTTGTATTCACCTTGAGTAGTTCGGACATCGAGGGTATCATGTACGAAAGGCCCCTGGGAGCTAGTGATCATGTGGTTCTGTGCTTTGACTACATAGTTGAGCTCCAAGTGGAGAGAGTAGCAGGAATAGGCTGGGAAAAACCAAACTACAAAAGGGGAAACTACTCAGGCATGAGGAACTTCCTTCAAGACATTCAGTGGGAGAGGGAACTGACAGGAAAACCAGTACAAGAAATGATGGACTATGTGGCAACAAAATGCAGGGAGGCAGAGGAGAGGTTTGTTCCCAAGGGAAACAGAAATAATGGGAAGAACAGAACGAGTCCTTGGTTTACCCAAAGGTGTAGGGAGGCAAAAACTAGGTGTACTAGAGAATGGAAAAGGTACAGAAGACAGGGAACTCAGGAAAATAAGAGATTAGCCGAAGACCCCAGAAACGAATATGCACAGATAAGAAGGGAGGCTCAGAGACAATATGAAAATGACATAGCATCAAAAGAAAAAGACTGACCCGAAGCTGTTGTACAGCCACATCAAGAGGAAAACAACAGTCAAGGACCAGGTAATCAGACTGAGGAAGGGTGATGGGGAATTCACAAGAAACGACCGAGAGGTATGTCGGGAGCTCAACACAAGATTTCAAGAGGTATTTACAGTGGAAACCAGTAGGACTCCAGGAAATCAGAACAGGGGGGCACACCAGCAAGTGCTGGATGAGGTACATATAACCAAGGAGGAGGTGAAGAAGCTGCTATGCGAACTTGACACCTCAAAGGCGGTGAGACCAGACAACATCTCTCCATGGGTCCTTAAAGAGGGAGCAGAGATATTATGTGAGCCATTAACAAAGATCTTCAACACATCATTTGAAACTGGGCAACTCCCTGAGGTATGGAAAATGGCAAATGTAGTCCCAATTTTTAAAAAGGGAGACAGACATGAGGCACTAAACTACAGACCTGTATCACTAACGTGTATAGTATGCAAGGTCATGGAGAAGATCATCAGGAGGAGAGTGGAGGAGTACCTGGAAAGAAACAAGTGTATAATTGACAACCAGCACGGTTTCAGGGAAGGAAAATCCTGTGTCACAAACCTACTAGAGTTTTATGACAAGGTGACAGAAGTAAGACAAGAGAGAGAGAGGGGTGGATGGACTGCATATTTTTGGACTGCAAGAAGGCCTTCGACACAGTTCCTCACAAGAGGTTACTGCAAAAGCTAGAGGATCAGGCACACATAACAAGGCACTGCAATGGATCAGAGAATACCTGACAGGGAGGCAACAACGAGTCATGGTACGCGACGAGGTGTCAGAGTGGGCGCCTGTGACAAGCGGGGTTCCACAGGGGTCAGTCCTAGGGCTTGTGCTGTTCTTGGTATATGTGAACGACATAACGGAAGGGATAGACTCAGAAGTGTCCTTGTTTGCAGATAATGCAAAGTTAATGAGAAGAATCAAATCGGATGAGGATCAGGCAGGACTACAAAGAGACCTGGACAGGCTACAAGCCTGGTCCAGCAACTGGCTCCTTGAATTTAACCCTGCCAAATGCAAAGTCATGAAGATTGGGGAAGGGCAAAGAAGACCGCAAGCACAATATAGTTTAGATGGCCTAAGACTGCAAACCTCACTCAAGGAAAAAGACCTGGGGGTGAGTAAAACACCGAGCATATCTCCTGAGGCGCACATCAATCAGATAACTGCTGCAGCATACGGGCGCCTGGCAAACCTACGGATAGCGTTCCGATACCTCAGTAAGGATTCGTTTAAGACTCTGTATACCATTTACGTCAGGCCCATACTGGAGTATGCAGCACCAGTTTGGAACCCACACCTAGTCAAGCACGTCAAGAAATTAGAGAAAGTGCAAAGGTTTGCAACAAGACTAGTCCCAGAGCTACGGGGATTGTCCTACGAAGAAAGGTTGAGGGAAATCGGCCTGACGACACTGGAGGACAGGAGGGTCAGGGGAGACATGATAACGACATATAAAATACTGCGCGGAATAGACAAGGTGGACAAAGACGGGATGTTCCAGAGAAGGGACACAGACACAAGAGGTCACAATTGGAAGTTGAAGATTCAGATGAATCAAAGGGATGTTAGGAAGTATTCAGTCATAGAGTAGTCAGGCCGTGGAATAGCCTAGAAAGTGAATCGACCCCTGCAACCACAAATAGGTGAGTACAAATAGGTGAGTACACACACACGCACGCATACAAGAGGCCTGGTGTCTAATCGACATGGTAACTGACCCCCACACACACATTATATATATATATATATATATATATATATATATATATATTAATATATATATTATATATATATATAATATATATATATATATATATATATATATATATATATATATATATATATATATGCAAAACAACCACTCTGAAAGAATAGAGAAATTCCAAGCGCTTTCGTGACTACTCACATTATCAAGGAACTATGAAAGTAAAGCATCCAAAGGGAAGCTATATAAGGGGTCTGGCCAACACCTCACTATCAGATCCCACAACGGTTAAACACCTGACGCGGCGCCGGCCCAACTGGACAGGTCCTTTGCACAACTCACCAACAAACTATTCTACCCAAGAAAATTTAAAAATTATTATTTGTCCAGTGTATTAATTAAATTCTTCCCAAATTCTATTAATTATAAATGGATCTAATTTATATAAACCAAAGGAAATATTCTATTATTGTCAAAACTGCTTTTTATGAAACAAGATTCAATTATATTCCTGTCGACCATGGACTTGCTTGATACTACTTTCTCAACATTTTGAAAATCAATTGGATGGTTAAAATCTCTTACATGGGAAAAAATAGAGCATTGGAATCTTGTCCAGTTCTAATGCTATATTTATGTTTTTTAAATCTTAGTTCGAGATTTTTACCAGTTTGGGCCCTAATAAACTTTATCGCAAATTTTACAAGGAATCTTATAGACACATCCATCAGCATTTTGGGGGGAATTCTTTATCAAAAGTTTTTTTTACTGTATCAAGATTTTTGAATACAACTTTAATATTAAAAGTCTTAAGAAGAGAAGGCATATCAACCAAGTTTTCATGGTAAGGGAGAACCAACATATTTTTAGTTGAATAAGGCTGGTTGTCCCTTTTTGGATTGTAAAAAGTATTTCTAGCAACTTTAAAAGATTTATCAATTACATTTCTTGGGTATTTTAAATCATTACCTATTTCATAAATTTTGGATATTTCCTCATCTATGAACTCAGGATTCGTAAAGTTCTCAAAAACATTGATGAGAAAACAGACAGTTTGACTCTATCTTGATGCGAGGAATAATAGTGGACATAGGAACAGTTATTTGTAGGTTTTCTGTAAATTTTAAATTTACAGAAAACCTACAAATAACTGTTCCTATGTCCACTATTATTCCTCGCATCACGATAGAGTCAAACTGTCTGTTTTCTCATCAATGTTTTTGAGAACTTTACGAATTTGTAGTCCTGAGTTCATAGATGAGGAAATATCCAAAATTTATGAAATAGGTAATGATTTAAAATACCCAAGAAATGTAATTGATAAATCTTTTAAAGTTGCTAGAAATACTTTTTACAATCCAAAAAGGGACAACCAGCCTTATTCAACTAAAAATATGTTGGTTCTCCCTTACCATGAAAACTTGGTTGATATGCCTTCTCTTCTTAAGACTTTTAATATTAAAGTTGTATTCAAAAATTTTGATACAGTAAAAAAACTTTTGATAAAGAATTCCCCCCAAAATGCTGATGGATGTGTCTATAAGATTCCTTGTAAATTGCGATAAAGTTTATTACGGTCAAACTGGTAAAAATCTCGAACTAAGATTAAAACAACATAAATATAGCATTAGAACTGGACAAGATTCCAATGCTCTATTTATTCATGTAAGAGATTTTAACCATCCAATTGATTTTCAAAAAGTTGAGAAAGTAGTATCAAGCAAGTCCATGGTCGACAGGAATATAATTGAATCTTGTTTCATAAAAAGCAGTTTTGACAATAATATGAATATTTCCTTTGGTTTATATAAATTAGATCCATTTATAATTAATAGAATTTGGGAAGAATTTAATAATACACTGGACAAATAATAATTTTTTTAATTTTCTTGGGTAGAATAGTTTGTTGGTGAGTTGTGCAAAGGACCTGTCCAGTTGGGCCGGCGCGCGTCAGGTGTTTAACCGTTGTGGGATCTGATAGTGAGGTGTTGGCCAGACCCCTTTTTATAGCTTCCTTGGATGCTTTACTTTCATAGTTCCTTGATAATGTGAGTAGTCACGAAAGCGTTTGGAATTTCTCTATTCTTTCAGAGTGGTTGTTTTGCATATTCTGAAATCACCTGTTTACTGTGATCTTTTGCATATAAATAAATATACATATATTATATATATATATTATATATATATATATATATATATATATATATTATATATTATTATATACATATAATGTATATTATTTATTATATTTATATTCTAGAAAAGCCCCCGTGGCTTGTCTTGCATTGTTAAGATCGCCTGTCTGCGATAATAACCTCCACATGATGTATGTGTAGGTGCATTTGAGCTAAGTGAGCGGCTGAGGCAACGTGTGCGTCAGGTGTGCAAGACCTTCAATATCTCCACGCCTGTCACCAACTTTCAACTCAGCACTATCTTCGTGGACGAAGGGCGACGTCTCCTCTACTGCAGTATTCCTAAGGTCAGTACAGAGGTCATTAAGGTCACATTGTTATTATCATCAAGGTCACTGAAGATATAAAGGCCTTCAAAATTACTAATTGGATTGCTAAGGTCGTTCAGTATTTCAATACAGAAATTACACCACGATCTTTCAAGTGTCCTAACTCATAGAGTACAACACACAGACAAAGGCAGGCAGGCAGGCAGGCAGGCAGGCAGGCAGGCAGGCAGGCACGCGCGCGCACACACACACACACACACACACACACATACACACACACACACCCCCCACGCACACAAACACACACACCACACACACACAACCCCACACACACACACACACACACATACACGCACGCACGCACACACACACACGCACGCACGCCGCACGCACACACACCACACACACACACACACACGCACGCACGCACACACACACACGCACGCACGCACGCAACACACACACACACACACACACACGCACGCACGCACACACCAGACAGACAGGGCACACACACACACGAAACACACAACACACACACACACACACAAAACACACACACGCACACACACCCAAGGTGGTAATAGCAGTGATGTATAACCCACCACAGAACAGCAGGAGGCCAAGGCAAGAGTACGACGAGAGCAATAGAGCGATGGTTGACACACTGGCTAGAGTGGCCAGAAGAGCTCATGCATGCAGGGCAAAGCTCCTGATCATGGGTGACTTTAACCACAAGGAGATCGATTGGGAGAACTTGGACCCACATGGGGCCAAATACTTTGGAGGGCTAAGAGGGAAGGGAAGGTGGAAACAAAAAAACTTCATGTGCCAAAAACGTAAGGGACAAGAGAGAGGGGAAAGGGGATGAACCAAAAGGGCGGATTTTAAAATTTCACCTTGTTTAGGGGCAGAAATCGAGGACATCAATATGAAAGACCCCTTGGGGCCAGTGCCCAATGGGGTTTTTAAAAGCTTCGAAAACACATAAACTACAAGTTTAGGGGAACCCGAAGGCCAGGACAAAAATGAACCCAAAACTACAAAAAAGGGGACTACACGGAAGGGAGGAACTACCTGAAGGGGGTTTTCAGGGGGACAGAGAACTGGCAGGGAACCCAAATTTAAAATGAGATAGGGAAATATGTGCAAAAAAAATCCCAAGGAGGCTGAGGAGAGGTTTTTGTCCCCAAAAGGGTAACAGGAAAAATGAAAAGCCGGGATGACCCCTTGGTTTTTTACCCAAAAGGGTTGCAGGGAGGCAAAAAAAAAAGTGTGCTGGGGAAAAGGAAGAAATATGGGAAGGAAAAGGGCCCCCGGAGAAAAAGGGAGAACATTCGTAGGGGGCCCAGAAACAAATTATGCACAGATAAAAGGGGGGCCCCCAAAGCAATATGAAAATACATAGCAGCAAAAAGCCAAATTTTACCCAAACTTTTGAAACAGCCACATCAGGGGGGAAAAAAACAGTCAAGGACCGGGAAAATCAGGCAAAAGGGGGGAAGGAGGAAAACCCAACAAGAAATGAACCGTGAAGTATGTGAAGAACTCAACAAAAAATTCAAAGAAGTTTTCACAGAGGAGATAGAAGGGACCCAGAAAACGGGGGGGGGGGCACACCACCAAGGCGGGGACACGTGAAACCAAAAAAACCGAGGAAGAAGTAAAAGGGGCTTCTAAATGAGCTAAAATACCTAAAAGGGAAATTTGGGCCAGAAACATCTCCCCATGGGAATTGAAAAGGGGGAAAGAAAGGGGCCAAAAATGTGTCCCCCTAACAACAATATTAAATACATCTACGAAACGGGGAATTCCCTGGGGCCAGGGAAAAGACAGCAAATGTATCCCAATCTTTAAAAAAGGGGGACAGAACATGAAGCTTTTAAACTACAGACCAGGGGTCACGAATTTAGTATCCCAAAAATAAAATGGAAAAAAATTATCAGGAAAAGAGTGGGGGGAACACCTAGAAAGAACGATCTAATCAACAGCAGCCAACTTTGTTTCAGGGACGGGAAAACCCGGGGGGGTGTCACAAACCTACTGGAGTTCTATGAAAAAGGTGACAGCAGTAAGACAAGAGAGAGAGGGGTGGGTGGTTTGGGCATTTTTTGGACTGAAAGAACCTTGACACAGTTCCACACAAGAGATTTGGGGGCAAAAACTGGAGGCCCAAAGCAGGGTTTAACGGGAAGGCCCCTAAAATTTGGATCGGGGAATACTTTCAAAAGCCCAGAAAGCGATTCTGGAAACTGGCGAGGTGTCAGGGGGGGGGCCCAACCTTTTCCCAGGGGCCCCGAAAGGGGTCAGCCCTAGGACCATGCGGGTTTCGGGTTTTTTGTGAACGACATGACGGAAGGAATAGACTCTGGGGTTCCCCTTTTGCAGATGACGAAAAAAAGTTTTGGGGGAAATGAGAAAAATTTTCATTTCCATCGAAGACCGGGCAAACTAAAAAAGGGATCGACGGGGCTGCAGCCCTTTGGCCCCAGCAATTGGCCCCGGGAGTTCAATCCCACCAAGTGAAAAGCCCATGAAGAGGGGGGGAAGGGCAAAAAAGGGGGCCGCAGAGGGAGAAACAGTTTTGGGGCCCCAGAGTTTTACAAACCTCACCAAAAAAAGATTTTGGGGGGTTGAGTATAACACCAGGGCACATCCCCTTTAAAGCGCACATAAACCCAAATAACTGCTCCCGCATAGGGGGCGCCTAAAAAAACCTCAAAAACAAAAATTCCGACATCTTAATAAGGAATCTTTCAGGCCCTTTTGAAAAAACCGTGTACTTTTGGGGCCCATTTTGGGAGTATGGGGCACCTTTTTTTGGAACCCAAACCACCAAGCACGTGAAGAAACTAGGGGAAAGTCCCAAAGGGTTTTGGGCAAAAAGACTATTTCCCAAGCTAAGGGGTTTTGGGGTCCTACGGGGGAGGGGTTTAAAGGGGAAAAATTCAACCTGACGACACTGGGGGACAGGAAAAGATAGTTTGGACATGTTTAACACAATACAAATACTGAGAGGAATTGAAAAGGGGTTGGACAAAGACAGGATTTTTCCAAAAATTGGACACAGTAACAAGGGGCCCCAAAAAAAGTTGGAAGCGAAGACACAGATGAATCACAGGGATGTTAGGAATATTTCTTCACCCCACAAAAGTAGCCCAAAAGGGTGGAATATTTTGGGAAGCGATTAAAGGGGAGGCAGGATCCATCCATGTTTAAAAAGCAGAGGAAATTATAAAGCCCCACGGCTCAGGGAAAAAGTGACCTAGTAGCGATCATTGAAGGGGGGGGCCCGGGAGCTCGGACTCGACCCCCGAAACCCCAAAACCCTAGGTGAGTACAACTAGTGGTACACACACCAACACACACAAAAACACACACAGAACACACACACACACAAAACACACACACACACAAACACACACACACACACCAATGGGAGGAAATGAAAAAAGGCAGAATAACCCCGGGATCAAAGGGAAAGGGACAAGTCCCACCCCCCAGAAACACCTGTAAAGGGATCCACCCCGACCCCCCAAAGGGGCCAACTGAAAAAATCCAAACCAACCATCACACACCGATCCCCCCTTTTTTCCACCCCCCGCACCACAGTTACAGTATTAGAACAAAAAGGTTAAAGGGTTTTTGGTACACAAATGCAGATGGATTAACGAATAAACATAAAGGAAAAATGGCAAAAAAGAATAAAATGAAAGCCCCCAGCCCTCATAGCAGTTACAGAAACAAAACTCATGGAGACAAAAACAGATGCAATCTTCCCAACCAGGTTTACCAGATCATGAGGAAAGATAAAGGGGGCGGGGGGGGAGGGGGGGTTTGGGCTCTGCTCGAAAAAAACAAGGGAAATTTCCCGAAAAAAATGGAAGGAATAAGGGGGACGGGAGAAAAGAACAAACATACATTACATTTTCAGTCTGGGGAACACAAAGGGGTCATTGAAAGTGATGTAAATCCCCCCCGAACTGCAGGAGGCCAAGAGAGGAATATGAAAGAGAGCAACAGAGCAATGGTGGACACACTTGCTTAGGGCAAGAAGACTCACTCCCCGCAGAGCAAAGTTTTACTGGTTAGGGGGGTTTCAACCACAGGGAGATTAAATGGGGAAAAACCCGGAGCCACATGGGGGGTCCCGAAACCTGGAAAACCCGATGTTGGCGTGGTTCGGAAAAAACCCATGCACCAACAAGTTTAAAGGGCACAAACCCGAGTGAGAGGGGAGGGTGAACCAGCAAAATTGGACCTTGTGTTTTACCCTGGGGGGAGCTCAATATTGAGGAAAACAATTAAGGGGGGATGAGATTCCCCCAGGGGCAAACGACCACGGGTTCTGTGCTTTGAATACATAGTGGCTGCAAATGGAAAGAAAAAGGATTTTAATGGGAAAAACCGACATAAAAAGGGGGCTAAAATAGGGTTTTTTAAAACTTTTCCCGCGGGGGGTCCTGGGAAAAAGAAAAAGACCCGAAACCAGTAAATGAAAAAGATGGAATATTTAAAAACAAAATGCAAGGAGGCAGTGGAAAAAGGTTTTTTTCCCCCAAGGGGGAACAGTAACAACGGGAAAAAACCAAACGAGCCCCTGGTTTTTCCCGACTTGTAAGGGGGCAAAAAAAAAATTTCAATAGAGAAAGGGAAAAAAACAAAGGGAAAGAAAACACGAAAAAAAGGGGGATCAGTCGCAGAGCCAGGGAAAGAGTAAAGCACAGGAAAAAGGAAAGGGGGGGCCCCGCGACAGTAAGAAAAAAGACATAACCCCCCCAGAAACAAACGACCCCCCAAAATGTTGTATAGCCCCCATCAGGAGGAAACAAAAGTCCCCAAAAACCAGGTGACAAAATTTAAAGGGCAGAAGGTGGAAACCACAAGAAATGATCCCGGAGGAATTTGAGGAGCTGAACAAAGGGGAATTTTTGGAAGGTTTTTTTCAGTAGAGACAGGGAAAGGGGTGTGGGGAAGGGCAGCAAAAGAAGGGAACATCCCAAAAGGGAATAAACCAA